GAAGATCGAGTTTGGGGGGCAATCGGGGGCGCGCCAAGGCGTGCTTGACAGGAGAGACCCATGCCAAGAAGCACCCTGCTTGCCTCCAGGGTGCCCTGGGTTTCTTGGGTTTCGATGGTTTTGCGATGGCAAGCGTTACGCTCCCACGCCAAAAGTCAACGGACGTCCTGGGGTCTCAGGGTTGGGTTTCCTGTGGAAGGTTTCTTGTGGACTGGCCTCCATTGTATGACCCGACACCCACCTGGCGTCCAGCGAGCACAATGGGGCGGATGCCCGGCGGGCATCCGCCCCATTGCCTGGCGGGCATTGCCCGCGCCGCATCGCCGACGTATCGGTGATGCATCGACGACGAGGCGGCGCGGTCCTCCGACCACCTCTCCTCCGAGCCCCTCTGGGAGGCCTCCTGGCCAAGGGGAGTCACCACCAGAAGGGTCACCGGCTCCTCTTGGGAGTCTAGGCTCCAGGATCGCAGGGCGAGGAGGCTTGTGTCAGATGGGCCCAGGAGGGGGTCCAGCGACAAAGGGGTGGTGCAATAAATTTGGTGCAATAGATTTGTGGGGTTGCAAAATATCTGGGGCGTGCAGTTCACTCCAGTGCGCCAATGTACTGCTGGGTTTTTCGCGTCCGCTACGCTAGTCGCAATACAATGCAATACAATCAGAGTGAGGGGGCCGAACGGTCATTCATTGTCCCTGGGTGCGTGGCTGAAGTGGAAATGCGTGGTGATGGTTCTGCTTGTTGTTGTTGTTGTTGTTGTCGTCGTCGTCGTCGTCGTCGTCGTCGTCGTCGTCGTCGTCCCCCCCACGACCCACCCGCGACCCACCTCGCGACCCACCCCGCGACCCACTCCTCGACCAACCCGCGACCCAACCCGCGACCCACCCGCGACCCACCCCGCGACCCACCCGCGACCCACCCGCCGCGACCCACCCGCGACCCACCCCGGGACCCACCCGCGACCCACCCTGCGACCCATCCGCGACCTACCCGCGCGACCCACCCGCGACCCAATTGCGACCCACCCGCGACCCATCCCGCGACCCACCCGCGACCCAACCGCGACCCACTCGCGACCGATCCACTCTACAATTGCCCGAACATTTAGCACCACCCCCTTTCAGCTGGACCCCCTTTGGGGTCAACTGAATTGTGGGCGCTCGGGCCCGCTTTTTGGAAGGCCCTGGCGTGCTCTGGGGGGGTGGGGGGGGGTCCGCCTCCTGGAGGAGAGCTGCTGCCAGGCTGGGCGAGGACGAGGGTAAGTCCGCTCCAGAGCGTTCCCGAGCGCTCTCAGAGGGTGCCGGCACGCTCTGAAAAGGCCGCGACCGCCCGAGGCATTCGAAGGAAAAACGTCATAAACATGATTGCGCGCGGATTTCTTCGATCCGCGCAGGGGCCCTCCGGCGGCGCCTCCGGCGCTGCCATTGGCGCGCTCCGCGCGCCTGTGAGGGGGGTCGAGCGCAGATCCAAGAAATCCGCGCGGAGCGCCAAAAGTTTATGTGTCTGCCGCTTCTTCTTCTTCGTCTAAGAGCCGCCGGACCTCAGAGATTTCCATTTATCCCCGCCTGGTTTTATAGCCTCGGCCTGGTTTCGTCGTCTGCTGCTTCTTGGAGGGCGTGGCGACCCCCCCAGTGGTAGCCTGAAGTTGGGCATGTCCCTCTACAGATGGAAAATATTCAAAAACAGGCTTGTGACGATTTTTCGATTATTGCGAAGGCCCTACGGCCGGTGCCGCCGACCCTGAAGACGACGAAGATGAAAACGAGCGGGGGGGGTAGGAGGCGGAGGAGGAAGAGGAAGAGGAAGAGGAAGAGGAAGAGGAAGAGGAAGAGGAAGAGGAGGAGGAGGAGGAGGAGGAGGAGGAGGAGGAGGAGGAGGAGGAGGAGGAGGAGGAGGGAGGAATGAGGAGGAAGGAGGAGGAGGAGGAGGGGGGGAAGAGGGTGGGGGAGGCGGACGAGGGAGGAGGAGGGGTGGGAAGGATGAGGAGGAGGAACAGGAGGAGGAGGAGGAGGAGGAGGAAGAGGAGGAGGAGTGGGGGAGCAGCGAGAGGAATGCGGAGGAGGAGGAAGAGGAGGAGGAGGAGGAGAAGGAGGAGGAGGAGGAGGAGGAGGAACTTTCGGGAATATTTTTGAGGTATGTTTGATTTTTGTTTCACCCCCCACCCCCCGGCACCGCCCCAGCGCCGCCCGCGAGGTGCAGGGCGAGCAGGGGGGGAGAGGGGCGGCTCTCCACAGCGGCCTTCCTACGCCAGCGACAAAGACAACAGCGATGACAACGATGACAAGCGTCAACGAGAACAACGACATCGATGACGATAGCGACGACAACGATAACAGCGATGACAACGATTAAAACGACAATCACGATAGCATCGATAACGATGGCGATGACAGCGGTTCTCCTACGCCAGCGATAGCGATGACAACGTGACAACGATGACAAGTTGCAGCGACAACAGCGACATCGATGACGATAACGATAACAACGATGGAAACGATGACAACGCAGGCATCGATAACGATAGCGACGACGACGACATCGTTATCCTTGTCGTTGCTCTGATGCCTCACGCCCATGCTGCCGCCGATGCGGGACGCTTCGGCCGCGGGGTGCCGCCGCGCGCTGCCAGAGCGGGATGTGCTCCGCCTGCGCCTCCGCCGTTGCGTGGCGTCCGCACGCGCAGCTCGCCCTTCGGATCACTGCGCCGCCGGCTTGCGCAGAGTTCGCGAGGAGGCACGACGCAAGAACGGCGGCGCCCTGCGGCGCGGCCAGAGCAGACCGCTGCGCTTCCCGAGGGGGGCCGTCCTTGGCATCCGAGCGTAGGGCCCGTGCAGACTGCGTGTGCCTGCTCAGCGCGTGCGGGAGTCTGGGTCGCCGTGGTCATTCCCGGCCAGACCGCGCGGCGCACGGCGTTGCCGCGTCAGCTGGCCGCGGCCCGAATGCCCCAAGCCGCGCGGTCAGACACGCCAGTCGGCATGCCAGTCGAGCCACGGGTTCAACGACCCCCCCGCTCGGCAAGGAGGGGCGCGTGGCGCTGGCGCGCGGCAGGACGGCGCGCACCGAGTGACTTCCCGCACACGGGCGATGCTGAGCAAGAACAGGGCTGCACAACGCGACTGGGGGAGGCCTCTTGGGAGGAGTGTTCCTCCTCCTCCTCCTCCTCCTCCTCCTCCTCCTCCTCCTCCTCCTCCCCTTCCTCCAGGCCTCCTCCTCCTTTTACCTCTGACCTGGCTGCGGTTGGAAGCCTCCTTCTCATCATCTTCCTCTTACCTCTGACCTGGCTGCGGTTGGAGGCATCATGTTGGTGGTTTGTGTCGTAGTAAATTAGAGGGCCCCCCATGTGCCTTCCAGAAACTCCTCATCGGACGCGGGCGGCCCTCCGAAGAGGCAGGGGGAGGTCCCTCGCAGGGCCCCCCCCCCCTGCCTTCCAAGAGGTCCTTCTCGGACGCCTCCACGTCTTTCACGATGCACGCCACGATGCGCGCTTGCCTTCTCCAGGCGCACCAGCTCCGGGCGGCCAGGGCCTCCCCCGCCTGGTCTTCGTGTGGCCAGGGCGCTTGCGCGCAAAGCTGGTTCGTCCGCTCGTTCTCGGAAATTTCTTGGCGATAACGGGCGTGATTGGAGGGGGGAGGGGGCCGGTCACGTTTGGATTCGCGTCGGCGCCGTCTGGGAATGCTTAGGAATGACTAGTTCCCGGGCCGCGCCAGCGCGAGTCTTGACGTGACCAGGCGGGGTGGGGCTGGCTGTCGCGACGCAGGCGTAGCCTTCGTCTCATGACGGGCGTGATCGCGAACGATCGAACAGTTTGCTCCTCCCTCCAGCCCCGCACCCGCGGCGAGCCGCCGAAGGCGGGGCCAGCGGCGCGCGGCACTGGCCTCCTCGACCCTTGTGCCTCCGCCGCCTCCTCCTCGCTCCCCTCCTCCTCCTCCTCCTTCCCCCTCCTCCTCCTCTTCCTCCTCCTCCTCCTCCTCCTCCTCTTCCTCCTCCTCCTCCTCCTCCTCCTCCTCCTCCTTCTCCTCATCCTCCTCCTCCGCCTCCTCCTCCCCCTCCTCCCCCCCTCTTCCTCCTCCTCCTCCTCCTCCTCCTCCTCCTCCTTCTCCTCCTCCTCCTCCATCTCTTGCGCCCTCCTCCTCCTCGCCCGTCTCCTCCTCCTTCTCCTCCTCCTTCTCCTCCTCCTGCCTTCCCCCTTCGCGCTCTCCTCCTCCTCCTCATCCTCCTCCTCCTGCCCCTCCACCTCCTCCTCCTCCTCGCCCTCCTCCTCCTGCCCTCCTCTCCTCTCCCTCCTCCTCCTCCTCCCTCCTCCTCCTCCTCCTCCTCCTCCTCCTCCTCCTCCTCCTCCTCCTCCCCCTTCCCCTCCCCCTCCCCCTCCCCCATCCCTCTTCTCCCCTCCCCCAGCCACCCGAACCCCTGGGACCGTCCCCAAGCCCCCGCAGCATGAGGCAGCATGAGCATGAGCATGAGCATGAGCAAAAAATATCACGAAGCCCTCCGCCACAGACGCCCGGCGTCGTGACCTTGCCGTGGTGCGTGCGCCCAGGCCTCTCGGCCGCTGCCCAGGCTGCGGGTACCTCACGTCCTGTTTCTGTTGTTGCGCGCTTTTGTGGCATCTGGGCCCCAGAAGCGGGCCTCTCCAGATGCCAAGGCTTTTTGTGGAAGCACGCTGTCGCGGCCTGCTTTCTCTTGTGGCGTGGCAGGCCCGTGTCTTTCCTTCCTTTCACATAGGACGTTCCAAAGGGGTCCTTGCCTTCGAGGATCGAAGGGGTTGCCATCTCTTCCTCGGCGGAAGGGCGGCGGAAGGCGGCGGAAGTAAACACATGCGCCCCCAGGAGATGAAAACGTTTTTGGGTTCAGGGTGTCCAGAATCGGCTACCTGTCGCTGCGGGTGCAGTAGTGCCGAGGGAGACGGGAGCACACTGACGGAGAGGAGGAGGAGGAGGAGGAGGAGGAGGAGGAGGAGGAGGAGGAGGAGGGCGAGGAGGACGACGACGACGCCGACAAAAACGAGTGAGGGTGTTCGTCTCCAGCCGCGTGTGGTTTCGGCCGCGCGATTCTAGGAGCTCCTTTCCTGTGGCCCACGTGCGAATGCAGCCGTGTGTGCTTCCAGCTTCTCTATGCGGCCAGGTGGCCCTGATGCATCGCGAGACGTCCTACGGACCCCCCAGTCGTCGTGTCGTGCGGCGCCGCGGTATTGTCGTGGCGTAGGCCGCCAGATCTCTCGACCCCGATCCACCTCCTCCTCCTCCTCCTCTTCCTCCTCCTTCTCCTCCGCCTCCCCCTCCTCCTCCTTCTCGGGCTGATTTGAAAAGATGGGTGGTGTCGTGAGCGGCTCGTCGAGGCCCGAAGCGGGCCTCCCCGGGGGCCCAAGGCTCAGGAAAAGCGGGCGGGTTTGAGCGGTGTTCCATGGCGCGGGAGGTCTGTGCTCCGAGGACTCTGCTGATCGATACCTGGTCACGAGGAGGGGGTCGCTGTATGACAGGGCTGGACCTAAACGCTGTTTTGCTGGACTTCGCCTGCGTTTTGTTCTTCGTTTTGGCAGGGAGGGGCAGGAAAACAGGTAGAGCGAAACGACAAGCAAAACGAACAGAAAACGGTAAGCAACGTCTAGGTCCAGCCCTGCTGTACGAGTTCCCCTATCTGCTGCAGGTCGGCTGGTTCGGAGTTCTGGGCTTGTCTGGCGACTCTCTGGCTCGCACTGCGGTTTGCAAGGCCGAGGCGTCGAACCCTGGTGGTCGCACTCCCACCTCCTCCTCCTCCTCATCCTCATCCTTCTCCTCCTCCTCCTTCTCCTCCTCCTCCTCCTCCTCCTCCTCCTCCTCCTCCCCCTCCTCTCCACTTTCTCCTCCTCTTCAAACACACCAAACAAGAACAGACCAAAAGCTGGTCACGCTGAGGGGGACAACCAGCCAATCTTGCAGGATCTAGCCGCTCTGGGTCCGTCTTCTTCTGGGACGTATGCGCACTTGACGGTGGAAACCCATGCCAAGAAACACTCTGCCTACCTCCAAGGTGCCCTTGGTTTGTTGGGTTTCGATGGTTTTGCTATGGGAAGCGTGACGTTCCCACTGAACAATGAATGGACGTCCTGGGGTCTCAGGGTCGGGTTTCTTGTGGAAAGTTTCTTGTGGTCGAGCTCCTACTGTAGGCGATGGCATAATCGAAGAAACCGGCGTGAGAAGGCCCAGCTCCCCAACCACCACCTCTTCCTCCTGTTCTTCCTCGTAGTCCTCGCCTTGTCTCCTCACCTTGCTGCTCTTCATCCTCCCAAGTCCAGGAGGAGGAGGAGGAGGAGGAGGAGGAGGAGGGAAGGAGGGAGGGGGGAAGGGAGGGAGGAAGAGCAGGAAGGAGAGAGGGAGGGAGGAAGAGAGGGAGGGAAGGAGGCAGGAGGAGGAAGAGGAGGAGGAGGAGGAGTAGGAGGAGAAGGAGGAGGGGGAGGAGGAGGAGGAGGAGGAGGAGGAGGAGGAGGAGGAGCAGTAGGACCAGTGCAAATCCAAGACTGATCAGCGATGTTGCAATTAGCCTTTCATCCAACCTCCTTCTTTATAGGCCCATACGATTCGTTCTCGCTGAGGGAAGTGCCCGATTGGGAGACAACCGTTTGAAAATCTTGTATCGTGGCAAATCACCCTACTCGGGATGGCAACGCTGCGAATCTGTTTAACTGTTGCGTCGTGACGGTCCTGAATCGTGCCAGACCACCCGTCAACTCCGCGAGTCAGCGTGACTGCTTCGCCCTGGCGATCCGACATCGTGCCAAAACATCATTCGATCTGGGACGTTAAACAGGAAAATGGTTGAAACGGTTGGGAACTCCGGAGAAGAATGTGCGCGGCGCTAAGGCGAGAGCCACATTTTGAAAACGAGCCACCCCCTATCCGTGCTCTTCCTGTAAGCTTTTAAACCGAATATGCGCGGCGCTAAGGCGAGAGCCTTTTTCTTGACAACGGACCACCCCCCATCCGTGATCCTCTTGTAAGCTTGTAAAACGAATATGCGCGGCGTTGAGGCGAGAGCCGCATTCTGAAAGCGACTCGCCCTCCATCCGTGAAGTTCTTGCAAACTTGAAGCTCCAGGACCATAAATAGTGAGAACATCCCAGGCGAAACGCCCAGCCCGCCCTTTGGACCAGCCTCGGGGTGCGACAGCGAGGAGTTGTTCATAAGGAAAGGAAACGGAGGAGGAGGAGGAGGAGGAGGAGGAGGAGGACATTTGCGGCCCCACCCCTCCTGCAGGAGCACTACAGCTACCGGATACCCGAGGGGCTGGACATCCAGCAGTACCGCGAATCCATCGACGGCATCCCGGCGGTCGACTCGCCGGCCATCTTCGGGCTGCACCCGAACGCCGCGGGGAGGGAGCGCGAGGGAGAAGGGAGGAAGGAGGGCGAAGGCGCAGACGACCGAGGACTGCGGCAGGCGGTGCAGCCAGGGTCCATTCCGATCCGATCGATCCGATTCGACACCGATTCTGGTTGGCGCGGTCCGATTCGATCTCGACGCTTCGACCATCCGATGCGGCCCGATGCTGGTTGCACGGTGGCTCTGTGCGTCCTGGCGCGTCCGATTCGACTCGGACTCCGTGCCGATGCGGCCCAAGCCGACGCACATGCCGATCCGATGTCCCGCTTCGGTGCTGGCCGATCCTGGGTGGAGCGAGGGTCCTCCGGGGGAGGGAGGGCACACGAGGGAGCGGGACTCGAGCAGTGGCGAAGCGTCCTGGCTCGCCTATAGGCCCACCAAAGAATGCTCTGAGAGCCTCTTGTGGTCCGCACGAAATGTGTTTAGAACGTGTATGGCTGGGACCACCTTGTTTTCACACACCGGGTCTATGTTATAAGAAGATTGTTTTTGTTCTTACAACATTTTTTGGGGGGGGTCTAAGAACATTTCGTGGTAGGCCTGTTGGAATGCCGGGACGGTCGGTCCCTGCTCAAGGGACCCTTTATTCAGGAGGGAAAAAGCACAGACACAATGAATCGTTGATCCCACGGAAAATATGGAAACATGGGGGAAGTGGGGGGAAGACGAAATTCCAGAAAATATGGAAGCTTGCGGGGAATCTTGGGATTTGTGTGTGTGTTATTTTGTGTGTGTCCCCGGGCCCCTTCATTTACCAGAACGGGGGATTCTGAGGTGGCGGTCTGGGGGGCCGACGCGCGGCACGATTGACTTCCGAGGTGCGCGTTGCAGCGCGGGTGGGGGTGAGAAGGAGGGCCTGGTAGATCGAGAGAGCGGGAGAGAGGGAGAGAGGGAGGAAGGGTCGGAGAGAGAGAGAGAGAGAGAAAGAGAGACAGAGAGAGAGATATATATATAGAGAGAGAGAGAGAAAGCCAGAGAGAGAGAGAGAGAGAGAGAGTGAGAGAGAGAGAGAACAAGGCGTGGGAGCAGTGCGGTAGGGGGGAGGGGAGAGGGATGGAGCGGGAGAGGGAGGAAAGGGCGAGAGGCCAGAATGCCTCCCCTACCGCCCGCGGCGCCGCCTGGGGGGGGAGCAAAACAACAACAACAACAACAACAACAATCATTTTACCCGAACGCTCAGTGTTCTCCCCAGTGCCAGGGTTTTCATGCGACGCCAGCCAATACCCCACTTCGTGGGGGGGCAATGCAAGCTCTACCAAACATCCACACGACTCTCGGGAACCACCCACACCCAGCTTCCCGCCCTATGACGTCAGGACACTTCACTTCGTGGCGCGCGGACGATCGTGGATACGACACTGGCGTGGAGTACACACCCGCAGAGGTTAATCACTTGTTTGGGCCCCGCATGTGCCCCGCATCGTGCATTTGTTGCGCATGATATGAGAGCAAGACAGAGAGAGAGAGAGCAAGACAGAGAGACAGAGAGAGAGAGAGAGAGAGAGAGCAAGACAGAGAGCCAGAGGAGAGCTACGGTGCGATTCGTGTGATTTTATGATGCGCGGTGCTAACATTCTTAAAAACCCAATGGTTTTTGGAGATTTCGGCGTGCGCGCGCGAAGAAAAAACGAATGTGTCCGCATGGTATTATTTGACAGGGATGATGGCCCTGGCAGGTGCGCAACCGTTGTCGCAGAAGTTCGAAAAAGTTGCTCGCAAAAGCCCGTTTGACAGAAATGTTTAAAAAAGGTTGGTTTTCCTACGAATCCGCAAGAGCGCGCGGGATGAGATTTTGACATTTTTTTGTTGAAAAACCATTGGGTTTTTGATGTTTTTATGTTAAAATCGCTCCGAACACTAAGCTTTTGGAAGGATTTCGTCTTGCGCGCGCGAATGTCCACTTTACCTTATTTTTGCAAGGGATTCTTGAAATTTTGATCACAAACAACAACAACAACAATCATTTTACCCGAACGCTCAGTGTTCTCCCAAGTGCCAGGGTTTTCATGCGACGCCAGCCAATACCCCCACTTCGTGGGGGGGCAATGCAAGCTCTACCAAACATCCACACGACTCTCGGGAACCACCCACACCCAGCTTCCCGCCCTATGACGTTAGGACACTTCACTTCGTGGCGCGCGGACGATCGTGGATACTACACTGGCGTGGAGTACACACCCGCAGAGGTTGATCACTTGTTTGGGCCCCGCATGTGCCCCGCATGGTGCATTTGTTGCGTATGACATACATAGTACAGAGAGACAGAGAGAGAGAGAGAGAGAGAGAGAGCAAGACAGAGAACCAGTGGAGAGAGAGATAGAAAGAGATTCGTCACATGTGTGAGGCAACCTGAGAAGATGTGGTACACGGTACACGTGAGATGGTACGCAGTGCCAAGATAGTTGGTCACATTTTTGAGGCAAATTCCTGGGAAGGCGATTACACAAGTAGATGTGTTAAGTATGATAGATATGAAGCAGAGAAAGAGCGAGAGACAGAGAGAAGGAGAGAGAGGAGTCGGTCACATCTTTAGGGCAACTTCCTGAGGGATGTGGGAGGACACAAGAGAGAAGGTATCGTTGTCCCGATGGTTGTCTCGATGGTTGACCCGATGGTTGTCCTGATGGTTATGGTTGTCCCGATCGTTATCCCGATGCTTGTCCAAATGGTTGTCCCGATGGTTGTCCCGATGATTGTCCCGATGGCTGTCCCGCTGCGATGCAATGTTGTCTGTTTCTGCTGTTATACAGTCCCAAGGATGACGCACGCATTGCTCATACACTGGTGGCGCTGTGATCCTAACTCTCACTGCCCAACGCGCGCGTGCACAGCCAGACGGAGGGAGAGAAAGTACACAAGGTTCGTGACATACGCACGGTCCACCATGTTCTAAACGATCACATGCACGTTTAGTTCTGAAATTGTACATATGTACAAGCAGACATGCGAGGGAGACAGGGAGATGGCCATCGACAGTTCCAATACGGCTCCGAGGCGCAAGAGGGGGAGGAGGAGCAGGACAAGGAGGAAAGGAGAGAAGCGAGAAAGGAATAACGCAGACGGCGCGGCTCTGGACACAAAGGGGTGCCATACTTTCTCCTGCTTTCGCAAACAGGTCCAGTCACACGTAGGAGTATACTCACCCAGACGCATACTAAGGCGACTCGTCGTCTGCGACGTCGCAAAGGCGCTTGGGTACATGGCTGCCTGGCTGATGCAGGTGCGGGCCTGGCTGATACCCGTGCGCTCCCAAATGCCCAATGATATTGCCGATACGCCTGCTGGCGAGAGAGCCGGGGCTTGCATACGGCAGTGCTAACGCGAGCACGTTGTGGACCTGCGGTGGCAAGGCCGGGTAATCGAGCACGTTCGGATACTCGTCGCTCTGACCAAAAGACCGCCATACGGGCAACCACCACCACTGGTCTTGACGCGGATACTTCATCTCTGGGCCGACCTCAGGGGATACGTTCCAAATGGCCATTTTCTGCGGGTCCGTACCCATGAAGGCCGCGTGATACGCAATGAATACGTCCAAGGTGGCGAGGGCCCTGTAGGAGAGGCCGGATACGATCTCCGCATGAATGGGAATACCGAGCTGACCGAGCAAATACCGCATACTGCTATACACCCACTGGCCCGGGTGGACGAAGAGGTTGGCTTTCCAGGCGACGATACCTCGCGCGGTGCATAGCGTGTCGAATACGTGCAGAAGGTAGCCAATGGGCTTCCCAAGCCTCTCATCCTGGAATACCGAGAAATTCCCGAATACCGCGTGCGCGTAGAAGAAGGCGTCGAAGTAAAGCCACTCCGGCTCGGGGATGCCCCCCATACTGTGCTGGTAGTCCGGGTCGTTGTTCGTCTTCGACTGCCTCGTGGACATAACGCTCGATACGGCGAGGCATACGCCCTTGACACCCTCCCATAGAATAGGGAAGAAGATACCGCACGCGAACCACCTCTCCGAGCCACACTGCTTGAGCCAGCGCCGCGCATACGCCTCGTGGTTGGGTGGCGTGTGCCAGCGCTCCATACTGTAGCGCACTTCATCATCGCTTGGGTAATACTCGCCCGTCACGGGGTCGAGCCGACCGGCCATCTGGGAAGCCATACGGAAGGCCGGCAATATGGAGGTGAATACGATCTCGCGATATACAGTAAGCGGCTTGAGCAGAAACCGCTACGTACAAACAGAAGCGAACCGCATACATGTGCCCCAATGCCAAAGTCCATACGACCGCACACGCAGAACACTCATGCGAGCGCCGTCGGAAAGACGAAGTCCGCCGCCGCACATGCGACCAGAGCAGGCATACTCACTTCATCTTTTTATTTGAATCCACAGGCCTCATAGACTTCCCCTGGGAACCCCCCAGACGCCCTCATAAACTTCCCCTGGGAATCGGGTCCACAGAAACTAAGACAATCGGGCCCTGGGAACCCCCCAGATACCCAGAGAGGTCTGGCGGCTGGGGCCGAAGGCCTAAAGAGAATACATAACCACAGGGCCCTGGGAGGCCCTCCCAAGATCCCCAGATGGGTCTGGCGACTCCGTGGGAAAGCCCTCGGAGCACATATTACACGTGAGCCGTGTTGCACATGATACATATTGCACATGATACGTCTGCTAGCCATGGGACACATACACACCAGAGTTGGTCACATTTCTGGGGCATGTTTTGACACACATCCCCGTGTCATGTATGATACGTATAGCACATGAAACGTATGATAGACATGAGAGCAAAAGAGGCTCACGCAGGCTGAGGCCGAGGCTGAGGGTGAAGCTGAAGCTGGAGCAGGCTGAGGCTGGGACACGCTGAGCTGATGCAGGCTGAGGCTGAGACAGGCTGAGGCCGACGCTGAGGCAGGCTGGTGCTGAGGCAGGCGGAGACTGAGGCTGAGGACGATACGTCACCGTCGCCGTCGCCGTCGCCGTCGCCGTCGCCGCCGTCACCCTCGCCGTCGCCGCCGCCGCCTCCGTC